CACACACCCTCACTCCCAATCACACCCCACACCCTCTCACATGATATACAAGAGTAAGACTTTATTTTTTAGTTATTATGCAATCCCCTCCATATACAGTATACAAACACAAACCATGACAAATATTTTTTATAATTAAATTAAAATTTGTTACAGCAGGTGGTTAACTTTTAGTGTTTGATTTGGTTTTTTTCTGGTTCCAAGATGGCACCATCCCCTCCCAAAAGGAGTATTTCTAGGAAGGGGAGGGACTTCCGGTGGCAAAGGTCAGGAGTTAGGGGGCAGGACTTCTGGTCCCAAAATGGTGACCAGCGGGTGGGGCATCTGTCAAGGGGCGGAGCTACCCATGCAGCCCTCAACAGCTCACTAAAACTAATTAAGCAGCCCTCCAGCTGAAATAATCGCCTGCCCCTGCTCTAACCTGTTCTTTCACCACTGAGTGCTGCTCACCACCTCCCCAAACTATGCTGCCCAGTGCAGTAGTCTGAGAGCTGACCTTGCTTGTAAATACCAAGGTAAAAGGCATTAAGTACACTTCAGCCTTTTTCTCATCTGTGAACATCCTGGTTTTCTGTGATTAAAAAAAAATCCCCAATTCTCAGATTCAAAGTAGTAACCCAAAATCCACATTTTTCCATGATTAAAATGAACCACCACACTTCTTTTAATCTGAAAATTGGGAATTGAAAAAAACAAAACAAACAAACAAACAAAAAAAAAATCAGAGAAAACCAGGATTTGTGCTCATCTGTCACTAGGTTGCCTCCCCCATTCAGAAAGGGACCCACACTTTTCCTCACCTTCCTCTTGTTGTTTGCTTACATGTAGAAACCCTTCTTACACTTCTTGTCCCCTGCTAACTGCAACTCTGATAGTGCTTTAGCCTTCCTGATTTCATCCTTGCATGCCCGAGCAATATTCTTACCCTCCTCCTTAGTCATCTGCCCCAGCTTCCACTTCTTGTAAGCTTTCTTTTTGTGTTTAAGATCACCGAAGAATTCTCTGATGAACCAAGCCGGTCACCTGCAATTTTTGCTATTCTTCCTACACATCAGGATGGTTTGGTTCCTGTGCCCTCAGTAAGGTTTCTTTACAATACAACCAGCTCCCCTGGACTTCTTTCCCCCATCAGACTGACCTCCCAGGGGATCCTGCCCATCTGTTTCCTGGTGGAATCAAAGTCTGCTTTTCTGAAGTTCAGGATTCATAATCTGCTGCTCTCCTTTCTTCCTTTCATCAGGATCCTGAACTTGATCATCTCATGGTCACTGCTGCCCAACTTGCCATCCACTTCTACATCCCCCACCAATTCTTCCCTGTTTTGTGAGCAGTGTATCAAGAAAAGCATAGCCCCTAGTTGGTCGCTCCAACATTTGCACCTGGAAGTTGTCTACAACACTCTCCAAAAACTTCCAGGATGGCCTGTGCACTGCTGTATTGCCTTCCCAGCAGATGTCAGGGTGACTGAAGTCCCCCAGGAGAACCAAGGCCTGTGATGAGGAAACCTTAGTTGTCTGAAGAAAGCCTTATCTACCTCATCCACCTGGTCTGGTGGTCTTTAGCAAACACCAACCATGACATCATCCTTGTTGCTCTCGCCTCTAACTTTCAGCAGGCCTACCTCCAGTTTCATACTGGAGCTCTAAGCAATCATACAGCTCTTTTACATAAAGTGTAACTCCTCCTCCTCTTCTTCCACCCTGCCTGTCCTTCCTGAACAGTTTGTACCCATCCATGGCAGTACTTCAGTCAAGCAAGTTCCCACCAAGTCTCTGATATTCCAATCACACCATAGTTCCTTGACTGTGCAAGGACTTCCAATTCTTCCTGCTTGTTTCCTTGGCTCTGTGCGTTCATGTACAGACACGTGAGGTAACTAGCCGATTGCCCTACTTCCTCAATATGATACAATAACCACAGAATTGAAAAATAAACCAAATGGGAAAGTATGGGTTAGGAATCAACTAAAACACTAAAACTTTTACTGAACCACTGTTCAGCATCAAGCCTAATTCTTACAAGCATTCCAATTCCTTCATAAAGAAACATGGCATGTGTTAGATAGCAAAAAGAAACAAAACTAAATCAGCTCAGCTATATTGCATCAAACGGAGACTCAGGTCATCTTGAAGTGAAGAGATGCAAGGGTATATCAAGTGATAGAGTCCACAATCTTTGTATCACTCAACTGAAAATAGAACCAAAAAAGAATAACTCCAAGAATTTAGCTAAGAAAATACACAGCACAAAAGTGAAAACAAGAGTACTGTAGAAATTTCAGTCTGAACTCAGGAATGGCTCCAAGGCGCTGTCAGAGACAAAAGATGAAACAGACTGGAATTAAAAAAGAATAAAAGGAATGCTAAGAGACGTTGATTCAAGCTAGAAGCATCAGAGCTAGACACCAACACAGGCTGAGTTAAGAGAGGAAAGAAGAGCACTAAAGGGAAATCTCTTGCATAATCCTATGATAATAACAACAAAACATAGCTAACAGTGAAGGAAGAGTACAAGAAATAAGACAAAATAGTAGAGAGCAATGCAAGGAAAGATAAACAAAGAAGTGCTGAAGACCCAGCAGCTGAAGCTGCTACTATAGTACATTGTTAGGGTTTAGAGTTGTTTACCAAATGACTTGGGCATCATGTGAAAATTAAAAAAAAAAAAAAAAAAAAAAGACAGAAAGGAAAAACTGGCCAAAGGAAAAATTAAGATCACAAATGAAGCAGAAAAAAGAAACAGATGGGCAGAACAGTTTTTTGTTTTGTTTTCTGGGGGGTTTTTTAAATAAAAATTCTTGGCAGACATAGGCCCATTCCCACCCCAACACGAGATTGTGATGGAACACACGAACCTGAATTTGACATTAGCACCAGTCTAAAAGGGCAACAGATGCACAGGCTGCAGGCTCAAAACAATGATGTGCCAAGAGATGATCAATCTCCAGCAGAATTTCTAAACATACTTCACACCACCATTCTAAGGAATGAAACTAGACTAAGCCATGGTTTGGGACATATAACAAGAAGCTCCAGCACCCTTGCCAACATCATCCTGCAGGGTGCTGTGGACAGATGAAGAGGAGGAGAAAGACCTAGGACAAGCTGGCCCACCAACGTCAAAGACTGGATGAGATTAAAACTGACTGATTGTACAAGTATTGCAAAAGACTGGGAAGAATGGAGGAAGTTATTGCTCCATCAAAGGTGCTCCCAATGGTCAGTGCAGCCTCGTGACTGAGCTGTTCACTGAAGTCTGGGAAAGAGACTCCTCTTGAACAGTGGAAATATGGCATCACAGTTAACATGCCCACAAAAAGAGATTACATTGACTGCAATGACTTGAAAGGAGTCCCTGTACTCTGTTGTAGAGGATGGCTCCATTGTTACACATAGGGTGAATGAAGCCTATTCATCTTTAAAATTTATATCTGCTACCTCTTTCATCCTATATAATATTTACAATGAAGAAAATGAAAAAAAAAAGGAATACACACTAATGATTATCAGGGAAGGATGCATAAAGTGACTGGCTCTTGTCACTCTCAAATTTCACTGAGTTTCAAATACAACAGACAGTCTGTGTTTAGGAATACTTATCAGTCCCACAGAATACCAGTTCAAGTGGTCAATGTCATCAAGGCCCTATACAGAAATTTAAAACACTTAGCAAGGGCAAACAACCAGACTGAGTTGATCAGTATGGACATTGGTGTGAAATGCCTGTACTCTCTACTGCTGTTCATGACTACTGGCAGGATAAAGCAGCAGCAGATAGGCAACACAAACACTAGTAAACAAGGGTAGATGGCAAATGCCAAGGAGACCTAGACTTTACTGATGACACTGTTTCAGAGCAACAGCCACTACCTCCCCTCCTTCCCTCCCAAAACTACAGACATTTAATCAGGCCAAAGAGGACCCAAAATCACTTATGGCAAAACAAGCATGCTTGAAACTGAGATGTCAAGCAGCAATATCATGTTAAAAGGCAAAAAACAAATGAACAAAAAATAAAAGAATGCATCTATCTGAGCAGCAAGCTACTGCTGAAACACAGACTTCAAGTGCAACAAAAAAGGCAAGATATATTTGCAGCATTCACTAAACTTAGTGGCAAATGGAAACCAAAGATTCATATTCAGTTCAAACAATTTCTGTGTTTACGTGTGCTTGCAAGAGCTGGAAATTTACTAGAAATCAGACAAGAAACAAGATGCCTCTGAAAACATGTGCTATTGAAGGTTCCTGGGTATTGGATGGACAGACTCCATCAGTGATGAAGACAGCAGTCAACCTTAACACCACAGAGTGGCTAGAGAATGCAGCAAATGACATGGAAGTGTGGAAAAGACTAGTTTCTGTATGTGCACCAAACCTAGACTGGAAATTCATGAGGATTCACTTACTCAGTGAGTAGGGGAAAGTGCACAAGTAGACATATCTCTAAAAGACGCCCAAAATTCACAATGCAGATACCCTGATCAAATGAATGGAAATGTGTAGAGGCCACCTTAAAGAAGGTTACCTCGAAAAAAAAATTGAGTGCAGCTCTAGAGAAATATTCTAAGAGTTCAAAATATAGATCAACATTACATATAATATACAATTATAGTTTGGATTTCTAATTTCTTTGCTGATGGAAGGCTGAGGAAGACATCTGGGAAAGGTGCTTATCTGAGGGACCAATGCAAGAAATTGGATAAATGCAGTATGCAGAAAGGCAGGAAAAATAATGGGAAAGAGAAAAATGAATGTGTTATGAGTCTTCATTTTGAAAATATATTGCATACTTTTTAGCAGAGTTACCTTGAAATCATAGGACCATTCTTTCCAACTCCATAATCATTAGAGTTTAACAATTATAAAAACATAGATAAAATAAGATAATTTTAAAGTGAGCATATATGGTGCATCTAAACAGTTAATTTTGATTACCAGGACTACTGATAATGAGGTAAACTGCACCAAATACCAACAAAGAAATATGTAGACACTTACATCTTTCTCTTTTTGCAGGCTGTCTACTTTTTCTTTCAGTAATTTGTATTCAAACTCTAATTTATCTGCTTTCTTTGATTCTTCAGATAATCTGTTTTGTAGTTCAACTACCTGCAAGAGCAAGAAGCAAACATCTGTCTATATGTATTAAAACACAAAATATATGAAAAAACAATAGTTATGTCATACCATGAAACCTGTGTTAAAGTTAAAGGAATATTCATATACACAGAACATTCTAAATGACTTGTTCACCTATTCTTTCAATTATCAATATACTTAAAGATGCCCAAATGCTACAATCTCAGTTTAAATAAATTTGCAGAAGGCAAAGCCATGAAAACCCTGCAGACCAGCTAAGTAACACTGTACATTTAAATCTGAATATGACCTATGTAAAAGTGAAACTCAGACTGTACAGTGTGATGTACAACATGGCAGCATGGCTTCCAGACCAACTGGAGCAATGGTCAGATCAAGTATGCTGGGGCGGGTGAGGGGAAGGGAAGGGAAGGGAAGGGAAGGGAGTCTGTGGGTCCAATTCGGCATAGACAGGGCCCACATCACTCATTTAGTTTGCAGGGCTGGATAAGGTTGACACCCTTCGTTAAGGAAACAGAAAACTGTCCTTTGACATTCTAAAGTCTAGAAAGCAGAATAGATAAAATCCTAGAAAAAGTCAGAAGTACTTTCTCTTGTGTGGCTATTCTCCAAGCACTGCTCTGAGAAATCAGGTCCCAACTTACTTTTTTCCCCTCATTGCTCTTTAATTCATTAGTTTGAAAAATCAAACTCATTTCCCAGAATTCCTGCCTCAACTCCAAAATCCACAGATGAGAGAGGCAGGTTTCTTTATTTAAGAAAAGAAAATACTACATTGTTAGGGTTTAGTGAAAATTCCAATGGCCACTATTGAACAGAAGATTAATAAATGGATATTTAGAACTATAAAACAGAAAACTTAATAAAAGCAGGCACATAATACATATATGCATGCATATATAAAACAGTTCAGCAAAGTTTGCCTGGCCAAAGTTCCATACCTTTGCTAAAAAAAGAGACAGTTCTAACACTTGCTGTATGCAGCACATAACAGTTTGGATAGAACTGTGCTGAGGAAAGCTCAAACTGTAAACTGTAAAGCTACATAGAGAATCTGCTAAGAAATGTACTGACTTGTGGATTGTTGAAGTAATCTACCACGAACCCAAGTAACTACTTTCAGAGAAAACAGCATTACACCTATACTTTAGATTAATTAATATATTCTAGAAACTTTTAATCCCATTTGGCAAACCAAATTGCCTGAACCAATCATTTCCATCCTCAGTATTATTATTTATTTAAAATGGTTTTTTTTAGAAATTCAGAGTAAAAATAGGTCAGCCATTTCTGAGAACAAGGTCAGAGAAAAACAAATTGGACTTTTTTTTTTTTCCAAATATCTCACATTAGAGAACAAATCATTGACACTTCCAAAATAACTAGAGACTTTTGAAAACTGAAGCTTTAATATTTCTCTGGCTCAGTTCCCAGCTTGCACACTGGGACAATAATATGGGGATAAAAGAATAAATAAATACACAATGAGGACGAGTGCAACAGAAAAGCTCATGCTGAAATAAATCTTTACTCAGGATTTTTGTTAGCATGCAGTAAATTGAGCGTAGAGTAGTAAACTAAGTGTGGACAATAAAGAAAAGTTCATTTGCTGAGTACTACCCAACCTATACAATTAAAAAGGCAGGGGTCCAGCAGAAAAAACAAGATGTGATCAAAGATGGTGTTAATATACACAAGGGACTGAATCAAAATTGTACCAAAATTTGGGATTCTTCAACATTTTATTTCTTGATGCTACAACATGAACATTATTTTTATAAGGAATTTCAGACAAATGAATAAATGATTCTCAAAGAAATGCCTTCATAAACTGGAATGAACTCCTGTATGAGCTATTAGGAGGGTGTGAAGCAAAGACCTTCAAGCTCTATATCATACAGCATTTGAGCTAAAAAAGTAATTCCATTAGCTACCATCAACAGTAGGCTATATCCTCCACGTCCATCAGACATTAGAAGGGGAGACACGGCACCAGTATTGTTAGTGTGGTACAAATCTTTTTGCTTGATGGAAGTGTAATACTGGAATCTGTATTCCTGGCTCTCCTATGGGCATATGGTTTAATGCTTATGGCAGGAGGCAGTCAGGACTCCTGTTGTTCATGATGCTGTATATTAATGCAGTGTTCATACATATGTGCGTTTCAAAGGTAAGCATTCAAGAGGCTCCCAGTTTTACAGACAGCATAGACATACACATAGACTTGGCATATTTATTCTGAGACTGTGTGGTTGAAGTAGGAAACTCGGGTCTGCCTAGATCAGAGACTGGAGTTTCTTTCTAAGATCATGCCAGCAGTAAGTCTGTGCAAAGTAACAGATTCTCAGCTGTGAAATCTCATCTGTAAAATGCAGGGAGCGATGGGAAAAATAATTAGCTGCATGCAGTTGCATGGTAGAGGGACAAGGAATGAAGCTGCCTCTTCCAACACCAAGACTCAGCCCATGCTGTTTTTGCAGCAATGGCAGGTCAGTGTCATGGAACACCCATGAGCTGCCACAGGGAGGTAGATGATGGCTAGAAATTGATATTCAGAGGTCCATTTTTGGGAACTGGCTTGTAGGTAAAGTAGATATGCATTAGAACAATGGTCCAGGGCGAATAACAAGGGTTAATTGACTTCTAAAAGCCTGTTTGTGACAAAGTTTCCTTCAAGGCCCCCTGTGTCTGGAACTAGCAGGCACACAAGCTAAGTAATTGAAGACATGTACCACCCTGCTCCGTAACATGAGATAAGGGACTCTGCCACATTGGCCAGGTCACAATGTCCAACTGCAGAGCCCTTGGGATTTCTGGTTTTGTGGAACAGACTAAATCAGGAGGCCCAGTAAATAACCAAACTAAGATATGTGAATGTGATGGGTTTGGGAAACACAGGAATACGGTGACAGAACAGAATGTGGACAGTATGACGACCACAGGAAAACCAATCAACAATACCCAGGAATGAAGAGTCATTACAGGGAAGAAAGGATACAAAAGGAGGGATTTCAGAGCAGTAATGGGTCCCCCAGAGGGGAACCCAAAGCTACTATGGCCAGAGGACACAGCACCAGCCCATCTGACCCACTCCATGGAAAGGGAGAGGGGGTTGGGCCCTGGACCTCAACCTCCAGGCTGCTGACATCTGACATTCAAGAGAGAACCACAGGGTAAAGCTTGCGCACCGGCCAGACATACCTTCCCACTGTGAGGGCCTTTAGGGCTAGCAGATATAGAATTGTTTGCATTATTCTTATCTGCTATCATGGGTGACTGGTGCCTCCCGAGTCGGGGGGGCACTTGCCCCCCCAGCAGCCAGTTAGTGACCAGGGGAGGGGTGTCCCCTGCAGCCGATCCCACCAACCCACAAGTGCCACTGGCGCTTCCAAGTGCACACAATCGGCCATTGTGGGACCACAGGGATTGCTTCTCTTGGCTTCTCACTCCTCGGCCAACACTCTCAAGGGAGGCTACCCTCCTGCCTGGGAATGCTGGCTATCAGGGGGTGCACCAGCACTGTCAGGGGGTGCATGTGCACCCCCTATGCATCCCCACCATCTGCTATTACTGTGTATCAATAAAAATTGCCTGTTATTGAATGGAAAGGACGTGGTCAGTCTGAGGGTTTGGATCTGCCCAGAACAAGGTATCTGGGTCATAAATCCAGTGCCAGCAGTAGGCATCCACCTTCCACCCATGGTAGAAGAAAGTCACCCCCCACTGTAGTGAGCTGATGAACAAGACATGACATGCTCACTGTTTCAAAGCAACAGCTGGGTACTTATAACACCCATGTCACATATATGCATCAATATCTGCATTCTATAGAGCCTTCATTTTCTAAGTAAAATTGGAAGAGGTGGTCCCTGGGTGATGCTCTTATTTTCCCCAAGAGTCTAAATGGAGACCAAGAGCCAACAACCACATCTATACCATTTTTCCTGTGAAGATGGTAACTAACACCTGCCCATTCAATCCCATTCTGGTGCTCCCAAGACCTGAAGCTAGGACACACAGACAGCTTGAGAGCAGTTCCAAGTAGCTCTGAGACCCTGAGCATACACTGTTCACACTTCTGAACTGCAGGTCCCAGATGCATTTCAGCAGATTCTAATGGGTGGGGCTAATTTCCTCAACAGCAGATCTATGATCAGGAGTGAAGCAGTAAAGACAGGGCCAGTACTGCAGTAAGACTTGGAAACCTAACTAGGAAGCCTCCTTCCATAACTGTAAGTTTGACCAGGGCAGAGGCCAGTCCAGGGAAAGAAAAACACTTGATGGCTGGGAGAAAAAAAAAAAAAGCCCAAATTGCTACCTTTTTCCCTTGTTCTTTTCTTCCCTCCTTTCTTGTAGAAGAAGGAGTAAAGGAAGGAAAGGCAGGCAACATAGAGGGGTGACCTGTTTGCTCAAGGAACTGACAGGAAATTGAAGTCTGAAGGGAAAGAGGTAATGCCTATGCAGACAAGACACTGGAATCAGTACAGGAAGAATACTGTACCCAGCTCTTTACTGGAAAAAGGAGCAGAAAAACGTCATAAGGATGTCTGAAGGATAAGTGAACTGGTCTTACAGCAATAAAGTCAAGGAGCTCTATCTTGTTTAGCTTATCAAAGAAAAGCATAAGAGGAGGAAGAGTTGATCACAATCTAAGTATCTGACTAGGACACAAATTCAACATAGGGCTTTTCTTAACAGGAAAAGCTGTAACAAGAACCAACAGAGGGAAGCAAAAGCTGGAAAAAAGTGTAACAAGTAGGTAACTGAGCTACTGGAACAAATTATCAAAGGTTACGACAGATTCCCCTTTACTGGGATTTGTTAAATCAAAGTTTTTGGGGTTTTTCCGACCCTTGGAAAACACAACTGAGTTGAAACACAGGTCTCAGATCTGAAGCAGGAATTAATGCAGCTCCATCACCTGTGCTATGCAGCAGGTCAGACCAGATGGCCATGTTGGGTATTTTTAGCCTTAAAATCTATGAGTTATCAATCTAAGACTATATTAATGAACATTTTCCCTTCCTAGTAAGTGGAGTTATATAAGTGTAACGTAACAACCTATGAGGTTTCTGAAGAAAGGAATATTACAACAAATCAGATGGCTTCCATGGAATATGGATTAGTTCTTTTTCTGTGAGGTAATGGACAAATTATTAACAGAAAAATCTGAGCCATATATAGCCCAATGGCAGTAACTATTTCTGTTATCACCTGTCTCTTGTATGTTTCCAACTGGCTCCGTGCTGCATTGGCTTTCCTCAGCTCTTCTTCCAAGCTTACATTGTTTTGCATGTATACAGTGTTCTTTTCCTCTAAGAGTTTCACTTGCCGCCGCAAATCACCCAGGTCTTCCAGCTTCTTTTTGTACGATTCTACCTGGCTTTCCAACTTGGACACTTTATCAGAAGAATGCCTGCGTGACAGAGATTGAGAAGTTGAACCAAATCTGTATTCAGAATGTTCAGAAAGTGCTCTGCAATTAGCATTATAATCACTACAGAAATGGCTCCCATATACCAGGGGAAACAAACGACTACTCCTCTCATCTAAAACTTCTGCTATATTTTTTGGATTTCGCACCGTTAACCTCCCAGCTTCACCACTCACTATTTGGACAGCAGCATTATAGGTACTCTCTCTCCCCCTTTATTAATGATATCTACCAACTTCCTATGGGATCCTTATACTGCCTTCCTGTCTCATTCCATGTCAAATTCAAATGATACCAAACAATTTCCCTCTCTGACTCCAGATCCATTCCCAAAACTCACTTCTTTCAAGCAGTTATTCAGCACGACCACTGCTCTTGTGCTTTTTGCTCTTTGTTTCATGTGTAATGATAGAAGAATAGTTTGTTTGTTTAAAAGAATAATAAATCAAGTTTGAGGCACTGAGAGCTGTCATGCCCATCTGCAATGCATGTTGTATCCCCCCTACATGGTGGTAGTTTAGTTGTCTAGACTCAGAATTCAAGGAACATTAATTTCAAGCAGGGCTGAATTTATAATAAGTCATATTTGGATACATGTTCGTTGAGAACAAGCGACACAAATCTCAGCTGAAAGAATAACTGTAATAAAAAGATTAAATATCTAGAATAGGAACTTAAATGAAGACAGACTTCCACACCCATAACAAAGAGTAAAGATACAATGCATACAATGTACTGTATGTACTGGTGGTGCTCAGTGGTTTACGATCAGCTTGCCAAATAACATACATCTTTACATCATAATTGTAATTATAATTTCTAATATACAGGAAATTTTAGAGATGAATGCTAATGAACTCTGTATACAGCTTACTATAGGAATATAAAGAAACATGAATCCCAAGAGTTAGAGGACTATCATTTACCTGAGAACATCCATTTCATCCTTCAATGACTGAGCCTCTTCTGCTAAAGTGGTTAGCTCTTCATTCTGCTGTCGCAATTCTGCAATTTCCTTTTCTAGCTCTTCACAACGTATTCGATAATCATCTTTGGCTGCCTCTAATCTACAGAATTGAAATGAAAGTATAGGTGAGAAAGGGCATATTCTAACCATGGGCCAGAAAGCATAGGGATGCAGTCAGGCACCTGGGGCACTGGCATCATCAGCCACTTTCTTTCACCCTCCATCCCCACAAAGTCAGTGCCCAAGGTGGGTCCCCCATTCACCCCACCCTAGTTACACCACTGCTATGAGCTATAGTTACCATTGCTCCTTCACAGTCACCTTCAAGGAAAAAAAAAAAAGAGAGACACACAAGGCCTGAGACAGCACCACAGTAAGGACAGACAGCAGTGCATTGATATAGATTTCTGGGGCCGATACCAATAGCCAATTTTTAAGGAGGCATATCAGCCAACAGCAATCCAGTTTCCAATACCAGCCTGACAGCTTGAAGTGCAGCTGGTAAGCTGGTAAGGTGTAGTGAAAGGGGAGAGAAGGGGTGTGTGTGGGTGGGT